GATTTTTAAAACGGGGGTTTGGCTCATTTTCACTTCATTTCATCTATAGGAGCCAATTTTGGAGCAATTTTGGAGTGCCATTTTTCATCATCTATTATGGGGTAAGTGATTTCTTCACATTGTGAGTTAAATACATGGTTTATATATGGATTTAAGAATGAGAATTTGTAGAAATTGAGAATTTGGTAGAAAACCTAGAAATTTGGTATTTTTAGATTTTGACCAAGAAATTGGACATGGAATTTGTAATAAATTATATATTTGAGTTTGTGGCATTATGGGTAAAGTTTATCTTCGAAAATTTTCGGAATTCGGGCACGTGTGTTAACTTTATTGATTTTTAGAGCGGAGTTGGGGATTGTTATGAATTGATTAATTATAAGCATTGGAGTATATTTTGATTGAGTTGCACATTGTTTGACTAGTTATGAATCGTTTGGATTGAATTGAAGAGTTAGAGAGGCGTTGGAGCCAGTTTTGAAACTTCGGAGCGAGGTAAGTTTCCTATCTATCCTTGTGAGGGAGAAACTACCCCCTAGGTGATATTTATTATTATGTGCAACTAGTTATGGGTGCTACGTACGCACAAAGTGACGAGAGTCCGTACGTAGCTAAAGCATGTTTATGTCCGGGTAGACTTAGGACTTTATCATANCCCTTCCTTTCTTGTGGAGCGGGCCGAACGCCTCGGCAATATAATATATGCATCTATGGTTCGTGCCGCTCGACCCTCGGCAGTGTATATATTATTCTAGATCGGGTCGAACGACCTCGGCAGAAACGTGCGTTATATCGCTAGTAGTCCGAATATTCACGAGATAATCTTTTCATTGATGCCCTGCATTTTATATGATATTCCTTATTTATTTGATATTGGCACTTGACATTTTCGGAGCTGCTAAGGTAGAATACAAGATTGAGAAATTCATACCTTAAAAGAAATATTTGGAAGATTATGTAACTTACAGATTTATCTCATTATTGTTGTGTGTTTCATATCTTTTATGATTTATCATATTACTTTATTGGACCTCTAGTAAGTGTCGATGTCGACCCCTCGTCACTACTTCTCCGGGGTTAGGCTAGATACTTACTAAGTACACATTGATTTACGTACTCATGCTGCATTTCTTCACTAAATGTGCAGGATCTGACAGGTTCATTTGGTGATCATCTTGGCATGTGGCGCACCTGTTGAGGAGACTTTATGTGAGCTGCATTCTAGGCTACGCATCGCTGTCCACCGAGTCTCCATCGTACTATTTATTGTATCCTGTCTTATTTACATTCTGGACAGATGTTGTATTATTATTGTACTCCTTAGAAAATGCTCAAACTCTAGTGACACAAGGTTTTGGGGTTATACTAGTTGATGCTTATGGTTTCGTATATTATTAACGCCTTTCAATTCTTTTATAAACTAGAAATATTGTACGTTCCCGTGGATTTAGAAGTGTAAAACTCTTTCCTTATTAAAATATATGATTTCGAAAGTAATAAAATAAGTAATTAAATTGATAAATCACCGTTGGCTTATCTGACGGCGACGTTAGGCGCCATCATGACCTATAGTGGATTTTGGGTCGTGACAAGATCTATAAGCATGTATGAAGTAATGTAACTTAAATTCAGTAAATATTTATAAAACGTACATTGTATAGCCATATTTTTTTTATTTAATAATTTTATATTTTATTACATTTGAATATAATAGTTACAGATTCTTCGTATCTTTCTAGAATAAATTTAAAGATTTATGTTATTGTTTTAGTATAAATTTGTCATAATAAATTTGTAAATCCTTATACCATGATTTTCTCTTCCTTTTCACTATTTTTTCTCCCTTCCACAAAATTCAATCACTAAATAAAATGAAAGGCTTTAAACGTAAAGCATTCATGAGTCATTTTTATACTTTATATATTATAGTAATATTATATAATCTTTAAACAACTACAATGTGCTCTCAATATATAATATTTATACAATATATATGTGTATATTTTATATTATAAAATTTAATATTCCAAATATACATCGTATATATTTATCATGTTGAGAAAAAAAATTATATAATATGTATATCCAAATAAAATAATATTTTATACTAATACTCCACCCGTTTTAATTTATGTGAATCTATTTCTTTTTTAGTCCGTGCCAAAAAGAATGACTCATTTCCCTATTTGGAAACAATTTATTTGCATGCAATGATTTATAGCCACACAAAATATATGTGCCTCATTTTACACCACAAGTTCAAAAGTCTTTTCTCTTTTCTTAAACTTCGTGCCCAGTCAAATAGGTTCACATAAATTAAAACGGAGGGAGTAATATTTAATTTATACTTCATAATATATTTATTAAATAAATATTAATGTATTATACAAATTATATAATATGTGTAATAGATAAATATTATAAATATCACTTATTCATCCAAGTATGCACTATTATACAAGCATTCACATTTATTAATAAAATATAGTTATATCACCAAATAAAACGTTACCATAATTGAAATAGAGAGAAAGTACCAATAAAATTATAATTAATAACAATTCCATTAATAGATGGGAAACTGAAACCATTTGGTTTTATATTTAAGCAAATGAACACTTTAGATGTGTTATTATAGGTAAGAGTTTAAAGCTTTCTGCTAGGAATATAATTATTTAGTTGCCTTATATCTGAAGCTAGTGAAAAGTGTAGACGAGGAGGAGAAGAGGGCGAATATGGAGCATTATAAGTTGGCTAAGAAAGAGGCAAAGTTAGCAGTTACGGCGGCCAAGACTGCAACTTTTAGTCGTTTGTATGAGGAACTCGAGGGCCGAGATGGGGATAAGAGGTTGTTCAGGTTAGCCAAGGCGAGGGAAAGGAAGGCACGGGACTTGGACCAAGTGAAGTGCATCAAGGACGAAGAAGGTAGAGTTTTGTTGGATGAGGGGCTTATCCGTCGGAGATGGCAGACATACTTCCATAGTCTCTTGAACGAGGAGAGGGACATGAGCATTGTCCTGGGTGATTTGGAACTCTCCGGGAGTCGTTGTGACTTTGGGTATTGTAGGCGGATTAAAGTTGATGAAGTTGAGGGGCTATGCATAAGATGAGTAGGGGTAAAGCGACCGAGCCGGATGAAATCCCGGTGGAGTTTTGGAAAAGTGCGGGCAAGACAGGCTTGGAGTGGCTCACTAGGTTATTTAATATCATTTTAGAACGAAAAAGATGCACGAAGAGTGGAGGTGGAGCACGATGGTTCCTGTATACAAGAACAAGGGTAATATCCAAAATTGCAATAACTATCGGGGTATCAAACTGCTTAGCCATACTATGAAAGCCCGGGAGAGAGTGGTAGAGCTAAGGGTGAGGAGGAGTGTGTCTATTTCTGATAACCAGTTTGAGTTTATACCGGGGCGTTCGACTATAGAAGCCATCCACCTTATTAGGAGATTGATGGAGCAGTATAGGGAGAGAAAGAAGGACTTGCATATGGTGTTCATCAACTTGGAAAAGGCGTACGATAAAGTTCCGAGGGAGGTTTTGTGGAGAGTTTTGGAGGCTAGAGGTGTAATTGTTGCCTACATTATGGTGATTAAGGAAATGTATAATGGAGTAAAGACCCGAGTGAGGACGATGGTTGGGGACTCAGACCATTTTCCGGTGATGATGGGGTTGCATCAGGGGTCGGCACTCAACCCTTTTTTGTTTGCTCTGGTGATGGATGTACTGGCGCACCACATCCAAGGGGAGGTACTGTAGTGCATGCTATTTGCAGATGATATTGTATTGATTGACGAGACGCGAGACGGTGTGAACGCAAAATTAGAGGTATGGAGGCAGACTCTGGAATCTAAATATTTCAAGTTGAGCAGGACCAAGACAGAATACTTGGAGTATAAGTTCAGTGGCGAGACTCAAGGAGGGGAAGGGGAGGTGTCACTAGACTCGCAGGTCATCCCTAGGAGAGAGAATTTTAAGTACTTTGGGTCAATTATTCAGGGGGATGAGGAGATTGATGAAGATGTCACACATCGTATTGGGGCGAGATGGATGAAATAGAGACTCGCTTCTGGTGTTTTGTGTGACAAGAAGGTGCCACCGAAACTTAAGGGTAAGTTCTACAGAGTGGTAGTCAGACCAACGATGTTGTATGGGGCTGAGTGTTGGCCAGTCAAGATCGCTCATGTCCAGAAGATGAAGGTATCAGAGATGAGGATGTTGAGATGGATGTGCGGGCACTCCAGGTTAGGATCAGAAATGAGGTTATTCGCGACAAGGTAGGTGTGGCCCCTATTGAGGACAAGATGCGGGAAGTGCGACTTAGGTGGTTTGGTCATGTGAGGAGGAGGAGCACAGATGCCCCGGTGAGGAAGTGTGAGATGTTGGCATTGGAGGGCCTATGGAGAGGTAGGGGTAGGCCAAAGAAGAGCTGGGGAGAGGTTATTAGGTAAGACATGGCGCAACTTCAGCTGACCGAGGACATGACCCTGGATAGGAAGGTATGGAGGTCGAGGATTAGGGTAATAGAGTAGGTAGTGTAGAGTGTTCATAACAGTAGTATTGACACACAGTCTCGCTTTCTGTTAGTAGTAGATTTTTATGACTAACCGTTGTTTTCTTTCATTGTTGATCACCTTACTATCTGGTTGTTTTAATTATGTTTTTTATATGGCTTCTTGGTATTGTCCCTTCTTGTCTATATTTTCATTAATGTGGTGCTTATGCTTTCCTAAGCCGAAGGTCTATTGGAAACAAACACTCTATCCTCACAAGGTAGGGCTAAGGTGTGCGCACACACTATGCTCCCCAAAACCTACGATATGTGATATTACTCGATATGTTATTGTTGTAGTTGCCTTGTATTTAAAATACCTATTGCTGCTAGTTTGTGCAAATTTTTCTTAAATTTTGTCTATTTATGTTTTTTGCTCTGTAAATAACGCTTTATTCAACAAACCACAAACACTTTAAACACCATTTCTTTCCCAAACCGCCCATTACTTTGTAGGATAAACACAATATCGATTCTTATGGATTTCGTCGGACTCCAAGACCTTGATCTCTTTCATTTGTTCTTCCACCGAAGAGCCTTTTCTTTTTTAATGTAAGTTAACACTACCATTGAAGGTGGAATATATACCATTAAAGCACCAAAAAGGATAAACATTTTGGGTCTGACACCAATGTTTACTAGAACTAGAAAACATTACTCTTTGGCAGATTAGTAAATTACCCCTTGGCTATATATTTGTTCGAAAACAAAATAAACCTGTCGCCCTTTCTCCTTGCGGTCCTCGGCAAGCAGTGTCATTTTAACATCTTCTTCCTAACAACACTTGCACCAATTGCTTTCCCATCAGAAACCCCATGCCAATTTCCCTCACTCTGCTAAAGCAACGGGCTAAATCCTAGGCGATATCTGTCTCTTGCAAAGTCGATTTGTAAGTTGCTTGTCAATTTTATACTGATTTTCTTATGTCGTTTTCTGAATGTTAGTCTGCAAATTTTTAAACTGAGATATGTTGTTTGAAATGGTTTGTTCCAGATGACTAGCATCTAATTCAGTTTTAGTTTTCACGGCTTTTGCCCTTACTTTTCTATGTTTCTCTTTTGCTTTGTTTAATATGGTTATTCCTGCAATTTTTCAATATAACTTGTACATGTGCTTCATAATCTTCATAACCCAATCTTTTATTTATGATTTAAATGGTTAGCGTGGTGTGTTCATGGAGAAGAAAAAGGACTTGGGGTTAAAATTTCTTAGCAAAGATTTTGGTGGGACAAAAGACAATTCTTGCACTACAGATTTATCTGCAACAACACTGATCAGTTTCGGATGTATTTATTTGTAAATTGGTTTAAATTGTCGTAAATATTTAGTTGGAAATAGTTCCCTTTGCTTTTTATTCGAGGTTTTAATATGTTAAAACCTCCAAGAAATTTTTTTTTCTAGCAGAACATGAAATACCCACAAGATGAAACGATATCAATATCAAGAATAACATATTGTTTGTCACATACCTTTTGAGTAAGAGCTAGGTTACAGAGAAGAGAAGGGGATTGAATAATTATAATAAGATTTGGGTTTGAGTTTCTTATGTTGGTTAGCTGAATTAGCACTTTATTTTATAACCGGATATTATAACTCGTGTGATTTTGAAGCATTATTTATTTACAATAATTCATATCTTGAGGATTATGTTCGCGATTTTCATGTAACTCTACATTGTGGATTGTGTTTACCTTCTCTCTGCTGTCTTTAGTTTGATGTGAATGAAATTACACTCTCTCCAAAAGATTAAAATAAATCTTTCGAAAAATAGTAGTTTTGGTCCCTAAATTGGCTGTTGGACCTCTTTTGTTTGAAAATGGTTGTATGGTAAATTCTGATTGGTGATCCTTAAAATGCCTGAGTGCTGAATTTTCCTAAAAACTCTTGGAATTCTTGAAGGTTCATTAATTTGTCTTTATTTAGGATATGATATACCAATGGACTATTTGAGTTGGAATTCTTTCGCACTTTGTTAAATTCATCTTCTTAGATACTTTCCAAAATTCCAAGTTGATATATTTTTAAATGTCCCATAAAGATTTTAAAGTTGTCTTAGTCATTCAGAGCATGCTGAAAGTTGAATTCGGTAAATGTATAACAAAAGTTGGAACTATTAGTACCAATTAAAGGAAGAAAGCCTTCTTCATTATAGGGAATAATTGGGTCACTTCCAGTTATCTAATCTCATAGGAGAAAACAATTGTATTTTTTGATAATTGCTAAAAAAAAAAATCTATTTTCCTAAAGCATCTAATCTTACATTCAAACTTTGTTAGACAACCATCCTCTCTGTTGCAACATTTCAATTGACTTCTCTTCTCAGGTTGAATTAAGCCATTTTTTCCCCTTCTCCAGGATCAGCATCCACCTTTGTAAGTTAGTGATGTTCTCTCCATCTCATCCTCAATATTGTATTTCCAAATCTCAAGACTATTATTTTTTTCTTTTAAATTAAACCATTCATCCAGGCTTTCGCCTCCGGTGGTGATGAGGGATTTGGCAAGGTTTATATTTTTTTACTTTAAGTGGTTCACGTTTTTGCTAAGTCTTTTGAGATTAATTATAATGATCACAATATTAAGAACCCATTGAGGTCTTGGTGGGGCAGGAGCTTAGGGAATCAACTTCAAGATCTTGTTTTCAAACTTCTTCCCCCTTTATTATTTGGGAAAATCTGGATAAAAATGTGCTTCTAGATATGTCAGCTGAATAGTTCTATTTTCTACTGATAAAGTTATACATGATTCAGCTTTAATATGAAGTTTGCTATAGCTAATGAGTTTAATGAGACCAAGTTAACTTCTAATTGGAAGGAAATCTGTACTATAGTGGATAACTATTGATAAAACTGATTTCTTTCCCAATGTATTGCTCAAATAAGAGAAATATTCTTTCAAACTTAATACAAATAGTAGCTCAATGGAAAGGGAGAAGACTGCATGTGGTATCTCTAGGGATCACAACACTATTTTTATGGTTTTCACTCTCTCTGCCTTATTATACTAACAATCTAGCAGAAGCCATAGCAGCTAACACTTATTAACAATGTGATTTTGGAGATGACTCCAAGATCATTGTTGATTCACTGATAATAGGACTCCCTCATGGAAATTACTGGAATGGATTTCAAAGATCCAAAGAAATTTAGCTACTATACATGGTGAATGCACTCATTGCTATAGAGAAGCTAATATAGTGGCAGACTTGCTAAAGCTGGATAAATCACAAATACCTCAAGAGTCTATTTTAAGTTTGAACAACTCCCCGGAATGGTAAGAGGAGCATACAAATGCAAAAAGCACGCTTGAAAACTATAGGATATGGGCTGGAAAGAAGGGATTTGGCTAGGGTCAATGACCAAATGAGGATTTTATAAATGAAATAGTCATATGTTTAGTGAACCTTTTTGCTGAACATGAACTGAAAATGGGAAATTCTCATTGCTTTCCATTAGTGTCTTCTTTTGTAACTTTTCTTTGGAGATAAGGTTTTGTGCCCCCCTCCTTGTATCTTTTGTTTATTAATATGATAGGAGTCATGCCCATCATCATAGGAGATGGAAACCTAGGTGAATGGCTTATTTAAAGAAAAAGTAAGTAGTTCACGTGCAACACACGTGTCGAGAAACTAGTTTTAATAAAAACAAATGCATCCTTAATACCTTTGTAATTCTGTAGTCGGGCCCAAATAATCAAACATCGCCTGCCAAATTCCGGGTTGTCCTTCATGGTACCTACCCCAAAACCGGGTCGCCCGGGTCTCCCCGCTCCACCCGAAATTCCAAAACGCAAAAACCTTCCTCCATTCTGTGTTAATCGGCCATTGTTGAAACCTCTCTACGGCCAATTAGGTATTCTAGTTCATATTCTGCTTACCCTTAATTACCTGAATTGGAGACGTCACAATAGCACATTAGCACAAGAAGAAACAACATTACGAACCGCAATTTTACTGTTTCTGAAACAATTGTTCAATTGTTAGTTCAATTATTAGTTCAATTATTAGTTCAATTATTGAATTTCGAATATAGAAGAAATGAGTGCACTTCAGGTCGAAATTACATGACTATGTAAATATCTATCTCCATTGTATTGAATTTCCACTCCTATTTGATTTTATTTCGAAAAGATTGAAAAAAGTTACTACCTTTTTTTATGTTCACCGTGAAATTATATGAAAGTCTAAAACTCAACTTGTTTTCTGGTATGTCACATGTGAACAATCGCCCCTATCATTTCAATCCCTGTCTGTGACTAAGAATTTTTAATTTATTAGTAGAAGTAATTTGGTCTAAGGAGAGTTCCAGTTCGATAATACATGAATGGGGTCAAAAGCTCAGGTCTTTCAGCTGATCGATCAAACAGATCAATCAACTATGCCTCAATCCTATTCTACAGACTTGAACACGTTCCGGTATTGCATGCTGAATAAGAATCAAAATTACTTCAACTACTTGCTGATTTCTTAAAGCTCTTACTAAACTAAAAGGGGTGTTCGATTGTCGTATTTGAGCAAATTAATCCCAGCGTGTATAAGCTAATACAAAGTTTGGTCGGCCATAAAAAGAAAAAATCACATAGCATTTGATTTGCGATATTAAATACGGTATTACGTTATACGTGAATCTATTTTTTTATATGCGGGGTAAAGTGCGGAGATTAAACCTTTTAAAGATAAAAATGCCCTTTTAGAGTAACTAATTCATGTATGACAATCCCTTTATAATTAATCATCACATGACAATACCTTCATTATTAATCACTGCATAAACAATTGCTATATTATAATCCCCGCATAACGAGTATGTGAACCAGCCGACTTTTGACTTGCTCTGTTGTTCGTCTAAGTTTCTTGATCTTTGGGCGCAGATGTTGTTTGGTCCTTGTTTATTTCTGAATAAACTGCAAATTGTCACCATTTTATGCTTGCGTGGGATTTGGTTGGGATTGTGAGTTTTGGTTTTCCTTTGCTTTCCCTGTTCATACTATGCTTACAACATCTAAGTTTCTTAGTGTTTGGACCCACATGTTGTTTGGTCCTTGTTTAGTTCTGAATAAACTGGAATTATCGCTACTTTATGCTTGCGTTGGATTTGGTTGGGATTGTGAATATTGGTTTTCCTTTGCTTTCCCTGTTCACGCTATGTTTGTTCGTTCTTATCTATTCTACTTGATATTTCTGATTTAGGTGACCTGGTACTAACAGTGAATGTGAGTGATATTTAGCCTTTTTCAGTGCTTCCGACCAACCTTGCTTTTTGAAATTGTGCAGGTTGTCATGGAGGAGCATCGAGTACGAAGAGGCAAATATTTAGTCATTTTTGAGGATACAGTTGAGTGCTAAGTGTTTGTCAGTATTCATAGGCATCAGCCTTTTCAAATTCTACGCTGAAGATGTCTCTGTCTTTGAGTTCAACTGCATTATCTAATGAAGATAAAGAGTCCCATCAGGAGAATGTGCTCTTGGTACGCAACAACTTATCCAACAATGGAAGTCCTCTAGAACAAGAGGCTGATGAACAAAAGAATGAAAACCATGATGGTGGTTGTAACAGGGATGGCAATGAGATTGAGTATGACGAAGATGAGGAAGAGGATGTGGACTTTAATCCTTTGTTAAAAGAAGCTGTTTCTCCTGATGCTTCTTCAAGCCTGAGCTCAGAAATCGAGGGTTTGGATGCTGATATTGTTGACAGTGTGGAGAACATTGCTGAATCATTGAAAGCTTATTGCAAAGAAAGAATGCCAGGTTTGCTACAGGACTGTCTCATTGGAGACAAAGAACTTGGTGAGGAAACTGTGATGCAAAATAGAGCTTCTTCTGGAGCTTGTCCAGAAGACGTGAAGAAAATCTCTTCTTCTGAACTCAAGAAGAGAGAATCTGTTTTGGATACTGAACCTGAAAGTGGAATTTCAAATAACAAGAGGACTGTATTTAGTGGAGGGGGAGAGGGCATTGAAGATCTTTCAGTTGGAGAGTGTAACAATGTTGCAAATTCAAGGAGATCCATCATAGATATGGATAATGAAGATGCTATATGTAAGCGCACTAGAGCGCGGTACTCACTTGCTAGCCGTACACTTGATGAACTCGAGACATTTCTTCAAGAAACAGATGATGAGGATGATCTTCAGAATGCTGACGATGAAGAGTACAGGAAGTTTCTTGCAGCTGTTTTACTGGGTGGAGATGGAAATTCTGGAAATGTACAAGAGAATGAAAATGCTGATGATGAAGATGAAGACAACGATGCAGATTTTGAGCTTGAAATTGAGGAGGCATTGGAGAGTGACATTGATGAACACGTGAAGGATGATGCTGAAGAGGAGTACGAGGCTGTTAGTCGAAGACCTAAGACTAGGCAAATTAGGCGCCAAAGAGCTTCTGTTGAGAACAAGAAGAAAGTTTTAGGACTGTCAAATAGGCCACTACGCCCTTTGTTACCATATCTGCCCATTTCTCCTTACTCTGGACATGGTGCAAAAAGCATGATGTTGCCAAGATGTTCTCTAGCTTCACCCAATCTGTCGGCTACAAATGATGGCTGTATGAATGGATTTACAGCCCATCAGATAGGACAATTACATTGTTTGATACATGAGCATGTTCAACTTCTTATTCAGGTTTTTGCCGTTTGTGTTCTTGAGCCGGCCAGACAGCACATTGCTTCTGATGTTCGGGAATTGATATCACAAATGCTTCATAAACGTGATGAAGTGTTAGCAAGTAGGAGTGTGCCATATCCCAGTTTTTGCTTCTTCTCCCCATATGTTCATCCCTCAGTGTCTGATGAACCTTTGAAGACTTCGCCTTCCCAAATCACCAACAAAATGTCTTCAGCACATGTTTTGCAGGGAGACTGCTCATCTGAACTTAACATGGTGCAGCCTTTTGATGGAATTTCTCCTTCAAGAGGAAGACATGATGCTATTAGTCAAGTGGGATGCCCTGTAGGCTCCTGGGTACCTTATATAAGTGGTCCAATACTATCTGTTCTTGATGTGGCTCCAATCAAATTAGTTAAGGACTTCATGGATGACGTTTCTCATGGTATATCATGTTAGAACACCAAAATCATTTAGTTTTCTTATGGTTGTTCAGTTTATGATACTTTATTTACTTCATCACGGGTGATATTTATTGACAGCTATGCAAGATTATCAACATCGGCAACTAGGAGGTATGGATGATATCTGCTCCGAGAAGGAACCCTTGTTTCCTGTGCAAAGTATTCATTTTACTGCTGAACCTGATGGTCAGGCTTCCTTGTATTCAAACATTGTGCCTCCTCCTTCATCAAGTTTTCGAACATCAAAGAAGACTATGGCTGCTGTATTAGTAGAAAAAGCTAAAAAACAGGCAGCTACTCCTGTTCCAAAGGAGATTGCTAAGTTAGCCCAGCGCTTCTATCCTTTGTTTAATCCTGCTCTGTATCCCCATAAGCCACCCCCTGCAGCAGTAGCAAACCGGGTGCTTTTTACTGATGCAGAGGATGAGTGAGTTTTATGTCTTCTTTTACCTTTCGTGCAGTAGCAGTATCAGGGTTCTTATGAAATGAGTTGCTTTACTGATTAGGTCGTGATTGTAAAATTGAGGCAACATTGGCCTTGCTTCGGGGCATTTGATGCCTTCTTGCTTTTATTAGTTGGTATTGCTCACCTTCTCCACAGTGGTCATTCTCTGCTATGGTGATAGGTTGTGAACTAAAACCTTGCTATAGGACGAACTGAGAAAGTAGTGAATTTAGTTAGATTTTAGAGTTGCAAAGTTGGAATGTTGGAATTCACATCTCACGAAAATCTAATGGATTCTGAAATTTCCCCTAAATAAACGATCTCTTTTGGTACAATTTATTTCTCAGCGTGATACAAAATTAGGTGTTAACATAAAGCCGAAAAGAATTTTGTTACATCTATTGTACGAAAACAATTGAATGAAGCTAATTATCTATATCTGTGAGAGCCTAAGCAGTTTTAGTCATTGTGCTTTGGTTAATTACCATGTATCATTCATCCTCCACTTCCTTGGGCAATTTCATCAATTCCCTACTAGGTTCTTAAGGTTTTAATATCATGGATGATCTTCATTTTTACCCATATTCGCTTTTACGATTACTGATAAGTTTAGTAATATTACCTTGGCATCTGGTGCAGATTATTAGCATTGGGTTTGATGGAGTATAATACAGACTGGAGGGCAATTCAGCAGCGCTATCTTCCTTGCAAATCTAAGCATCAGGTGATTGTTATGTGCACTTCCAGTTGCAGCAACAGTGTTTTCAGTTATTTATCCTCTCGATTTCATTGTCTTCTTAAAGTTTAATTGTGCTTAACGTGAGGAAGTACTTGACCCTTTTTGCAGATTTTTGTCAGGCAGAAGAATCGCTCATCATCTAAAGCACCTGAAAATCCAATAAAGGTTTGTTACTGGTGTACATAGAACATTAATAAACGATCATAGTATTAACGCTATGGCCCCATTTAAACCGCCTCTCCCGAAAAGTTCCTGCAAAACCACTTTAGCAATCTATTCATTCTATCAATTGGGACATGCTGAGCATGTTTAAGCCATCTCCTACCACCCCTTCAACTGTTCTAAGATTTTTTTAACTCTAAAATGACTTTCTCGATTCACCTAATAAAAGTACAACTCACAATCGCAATTCATCCATGCATCATGACCTTTTTTTGCAGTTAGTATTTTCCAAAATTTGTGGTCCTTAATTTGTTTGGGGTGTGATGGGTGACGCGGGCACAATGAAGGAGGCGTTGCATAGTTGGGCTCACATGAGGGGGAAGAGAAGTCCAAAGGTTTGGAGGGGTGCCTTCTTAGCAACCATGTGAGTTATTTGGAAAGAGAGAAATAGGAGGGCTTTTGAAGGGATGGAACTTGAGTTTGTAAAATTGCAGAGTTGCCTTTTGTTTCTAGTTTCTTTTTGGTGCACTCATGAGGTCCCCACTTGTATAGAGGATTGGGCCTCTTTTGTTGAGAACCATATATTTGTGTAGGTTCTCTTCTTTTTGGCACACGGCTTGTATACAGGGTTTCCCCTAATTGTTAATAAAATTATTTACCTTATCAAAAAATTATATATGTTGCTAGAGCTGCCATTTATTTTGTTTTGATTGATAGGTTTTTGATCACAGTGTGTTTTATGATTGTTGTGGTAAATAATGCTGTAATGAATCTTGTAGGCTGTTCGGAGGATGAAAAACTCTCCCTTGACAGCAGAAGAGGTTGCACGTATTGAAGAGGTAAGTTTACACCGCAACTTACATTTCCGTAGCACCACCATCTCCATTTGTCGCTGCTTCACTATTTACATAGTCATGATCATGCAGGGTCTGAAGGTGTTCAAGCTTGACTGGATGTCAGTGTGGAAGTTTATTGTTCCTTATAGAGATCCTTCCTTGTTACCCCGGCAGTGGCGCACTGCTATTGGAACTCAGAAATCATATAAATCTGATGCTAGTAAGAAGGCAAAACGTCGGTTATATGAAGAGAGAAGAAAATCAAAAGCTGCTGCTTTGGAAACTTGGCATATTTCTTCCGAAAAGGAGGTAAGGCTGGAATTTCCAGATCTTTTTAGCTTTATAGGTTGTCCTGAGTCAATGATTGCTCAAAACATGAACGGTAGAGTATAGGACACTAAAATTTGAAGAAATTGCCAGGATCAGGAGGCTCTCGGTAGACAGTTCAACTAGGCTAACTCTAGATTGAAGGGAAAGGAACGGTTTCTGGAAGGAAATAATTCTCTGTGATTGAAATTTGACAGTAAACATCTGTTCTCTGTGTAAGGTACTTATGATGCCCTGTCCAGTTATGCAGACAGTAGAAGCCATTGGCGACGGAAACTGTCGCAAAACTAGAGGTCTACCCGAAGTTTCATGTTTTGGTTGGATAGTAGTTCATGAGGCATGTCTAACTTAGGACAATTTAAGCAGAAGAGGCTAGTAAAAAAAAAAGAAGTCGAAGAGGCTTTATACCATATGCAGCAACTGTTACATGTGTTAGGAGGAGACTCAAATATAAATCATTTGTTTTATATTGTGCTGTGGCTAATAAGTGTTAGTGCAATGTTTGGAACATGAGACCTCTTTTGTTCTGTGGGTTATCTGGTGGGAGCAGACCACAAACACTTGAATGAAAACAAAAATTACTACAGTTTGAAATTTTCTTGTTTACAACTGTTGGATATCTTACGTAATTTTATTTCTATAGATGACATAGATGTTATATGTGAGATTTAGAGGATCTCTAGTTTTAGAAAACTTCTAATTTTCTTAAAAGTCAAATTATTAATTAGTATTAAAATAAAATGTCCCGAATAAAGCGGAATTGATAGTACAACCCCAACTAGTTTGTGATTGAGGCATAGTTGATTCATTGAATGATGAACTGATTTTGTTGGCTTGGCTCCCTACACTTTTGAGAAGGCTCTTTAAGTTTAATGTTCTGTTTCTACATGCATCCTCTGGGTGCAGTTGTATATAAACTATAATGCCCTTGCTCATGAAAAAAATGCAGGATAATGTTGCTGACTATGCTGTAGCAGAAAATAGTGGTGCAGATAATTGTACAGAAAGAGATGAGGAAGCTTATGTTCATGAGGCCTTTTTGGCAGATTGGAGGCCTGCTGTATCCAGCATCCAAGTGAATCATTCTATGTCAGACCTGGCAAAGAAAATTCCTCCTGCTCAGCTATTGGGAGATGAGAGTTCTCTAGTTGCTGAAGAGATGAATAGCAGTCGTTCTAGAAATGGGCAATCGCACATCTCTAACGAGTTCCCTGTTTCTCTGAGGTACACATTGCATCTTTGTACTCTTTTTCATCTCCTTTATTTTTGTGTTTGTGTTCTCAAGATGGCAGACATTCTGCATTCTCCATTGTGATGACTCACTATGCTTCTCATCTGACTTGAAGGGCCTCGGAAACCAAGTCCTTTTCGCAGCCATACCGAGCCCGTAAATTTAACAATGGACAATTGGTCAAATTAGCTCCGGGCCTGCCTCCTGTTAATCTTCCACCATCTGTTCGAGTAATATCTCAGTCGGCTTTTAAAAGCTATCACGGTGGAACGTATCCAAGGGCTTTTGGTGGGGATGCTTGTACGGGTGATAATGTGAGAGACAACACAGTCCCAAAAATTGCAAGTGCTGCAAAGAATTATTTTGTGAAAGATGGACCGTTTAGCAGTAGTGCTGGGAAGAACACTATAAGTAATCAGAATCTAAAGGAAACCAGTCTGCCAAAGGATAATAAGAATGTTACCGAAGGAAAGGATGAGTCAGGTCTACAGATGCATCCTTTGCTCTTCCGGGCCCCTGAAGATGGCCCTTTGCCATATTATCAGTCTAACTCTAGTTTAAGTACATCCAGTTCGTTCAATTTCTTTTCGGGTTGTCAACCTCAACTGAATCTTAGCCTGTTTCATCATCCACGCCAATTAGCCCATACTGTTAACTTTCTTGACAAGTCTTCTAAGCTCAGGGACAAAACTTCAATTTCATCTGGTTTTGACTTTCATCCACTTCTGCAAAGAACTGATGATGCAAATTGTGACTTGGAAGCTGCATCCTCTGCTGCACGAACCTCATGTATCTCAGAGTCATCAAGAGGAAGGTGCACTCAAGTTCAGAATGCTGTCGATAGTAGTTCAAATGTTGCCTGTTCTATACCCTCTAGCCCTGTGGGAAAAAGCAATGAGGTTGACTTGGAGATGCACTTGAGTTTCACGTCCAGAAAGCAGAAAGCCATGGGAAGCAGAGGAGACACTGACCATTATATGGGAAGATCACCAACTAGTGCTTCAGATTCTGGAGATCAAAATCATCACATCAATAGAACTCCAAATAGAACCACACAGCACCATGATTCAGGTGCTACTGCAATGATTTTATCCAGCGACGAAGAAAATGGAAATGACGTTGATTATATGCCAGACCAGTCTCTTGCAGAAATTGTGATGGAGCAGGAAGAGTTAAGCGACTCAGAGGAAGAAATAGAAGAAGATGTAGAGTTTGAGTGCGAAGAGATGGAGGACTCAGAAGGAGAGGAGATATTTGAATCTGAGGAGATAATTAATGATAAAAATGAGGTATCTCTTAAAAATAACTCTCAGATATCTAATTTGGCATAAAAATGGATTAGTTCGAAATCTTACTAAAATGGGTCGCACCACATCTTTATCAATAATGAAGTGTTTATGAACAAGATAAAGAAAAAATTAAGATTAACCTTTCTTCCTCACCTATTAGTATAACGTAGAAACTTACTTGAAGGTGAAGATTATCTCAATTTTAGCATATCTTTTGCATTTATCCTCAAAATGCATACAACAGTAGTAGACAATAGTTTGTTACTGTACTTATTTTTTTCTTCTTCTCAGCTTTTGTCCATTAAACTTTTTGAAGACCTTCATTCAGTACACCTAATTAAGATTTCAATATGCAGATACATTAGTTCGGTCATCCCAATTGGTGCAATGTTTGCTATGACACTTTGGCTTGGGAACACTGCTTACCTTTATCATGTCATCATGCTGACATTTATGCACTGAAGAAACATCTTTTACCTACTCTGGTATCAGGTTTCACATCGTGTTTAGTACTTTCATGGAACAGAGGTATCACAGTCCAACTTAATTGTGGCTATCTGGCATATGAAGCATGCCTTCGATATTTTAGAGGAGATTGAGATTATGGAACCTAATGCTAAGTTATTTCTAGGATAAGGGTGCATTTAACAGATCTTGGATGCTGCAGGAGGTTTTGTTGATAAGCCAAATTATCTCTCATCATATGTCTCGATGATTTTAGCTAGGATAGTAAGTTCCTACAGGATCATCGTAATAGTTATTGGGACGTGCATGTTAGTGGTGCATGGACTCGTATACGAAGATTGAGGACATACTAAGATTCAGTTTCTTGCTTATATAAGGAATATTGCATCACAGAGCCCCGAACCGACCTGTAGGTATGCTAACGTAAAACGAGGAGTTGAGCCTGAACCTGCATAGATTATTGGTTATTGATGGATGCTCACCTAACAGGAGATCTTCTTTCAGATATTATGTTTTAAGGTATGTATCAAAAAAGGGAAAAAACTGTCTTAATGGGATTTAACCTACCTTACCAAAAAAATAACTGTCTTAATGGGAGAAATCCCTTTTCAGTATGATATAGTTACTAATCTCTCAAAAAATAAGTATGATATAGTTACTAATCTCTCAAAAAATAACTTTTTCCTAAAAAAAGTATGGTATAGTTACTGAGCCAAGTGTAGAGTATATAAGGATGTACATTGATTTCATATTAGCTTTTGTGGTTAAAGTAGTTGGCAGAGGAGGTGAGACAGCGATGCAGATGAAGCTGATTTAAGATAGTCAAATTGCAATGCATATTGCTTTTAAGCCAATATTCTCATCTGCAAGAAAATACAGTTTCAATGTATCTCTTCATTATTTTTGTTAGCTTACTTAGTCGGCAGATATACTCCCAAAGCTCTCCTGAGACAAGTATATTTGTGGTAAGTATATGCTCTTCAGGTCATTTTAGAACGTATTATGTTTGGTGTTCCTTATAGTTTTATGTCAAATCTGCCGAGAGATATTTACTTTTACACACAAGAGATATATAAATAAAACGCAAGAGATCTTTGCAGGGTTATTTTCTTCTATTCAAATTGTAAAGGGTTATGTTGAACCATTTCCTATGTTCAGCATCTAGAATGTTAGAAATACTTGTTAGTAATTATGATACTTCCCTTTATTTCATGTACCCTAGATTCCTATATGAGGAGCTCTTTCCTATACGCTTTCTTCACTAATTCAACGGTAGCTTCTATTTTCTCATGAAGTTAAACATTTTAACATGAAAATAAGTTCAAATGAAGCAACAGGTTCGAACCCTGCTCCAGACAAAAGCTTAGTATTTAAGTGGGGAGTAGAGGGGTGGGCCCATCATCCACTTAGCTTCAAACTGTGCACCACTGACCTCGAGAATTTCTCAATTATCAAAAGAAAGTTTAAATGAATCAATATGAAAACCAATTTGCTAAAGTATTAAATTGTGGTGGAATAGGTGGCGTGGAGGCGGGGTTGGGGTGGAGGTGAGGTATTAGTGGTGGGAGGGGATGGTGGGAGGAGTAGAGTATAGCTAATTTGGGGATGCGATGGAAACATTAACACAAAAAAAGTTTCCTTGGCCTATGAACTGGAATATGGAATCAAGGCAATATGTTATTTCTTCACCGAGAAGTAGGATTCTGATTGTGTTATTTGATCTCTTTTGACTATAAGGGGTTGTGCAGTGGAAATTTAAATCTTTTGGACTCTTTTGGTTTCCCTTTTGTTTAATTGTCCCGAAGAGTGTTAAATGTAACTTAGAATTAACTGTTTCTTAGAGAAGCAATTGATGATAGATTGTGCTTTTCATTTAGCTAAGAGAGTTTCAGACCTTTGTGTGTATTTGTTGCAGTGTCTGGGTTCCATGAAATGAATAAAGTAAATCTTCTTACTGGTTATGAAAAAAAATAATGTTTTTACTAAGAAAAAGGATAGATTGTGCCTTGAATATGCCATCATGCCACATTGGACATCTGCAGTCTGGGAAAAATACATGCAGTTTATGAGTGTCAGAGAGTATAGGCACTAATTCATTGTTTTGGGTAGACCAGTTTTATAGTTATTGTTTTTTGTTTCTAATTTCATATTGTAGAGAACCATGTTTTTGTGTAGGTTCACCACTTTGTTACATTATTCATAACACCTGTATACTGGGTTTGTTCCCACTATATCAATGGATCACTTTATTCATTCTTTTTAAAAGATTTAGCAACATATTTGGCTAGGGTTATTTGACATGTGTAAACTTGTTCTGTAGGTTGTCGACTTCCATCAGACTATGGAAGTAAATGGCATTCGCTTTTGGTGTTATACTGCCGGTCATGTTTTTGGTGCTACCATGTTTATGGTTGATATTGCTGGTGTTCGAGTTCTCTATACAGGAGACTACTCCGGTGAAGAAGACAGGCATCTCCGTGCTGCTGAGACCCCAGAGTTTTCTCCAGATATTTGCATTATAGAATCAACTTATGGTGTTCAACTCCATATGCCACGTCAGATAAGAGAGAAGCTTTTCACTGATGTGATACACTCAACACTCATGCAAGGGGGTCGGGTGCTGATTCCTGCTTTCGCCTTGGGATGTGCACAAGAACTTCTCCTTATCCTGGAGGAATATTGGTCTAGCCATCCTGAACTTGCTAATTTCCCCATATATTATGCTTCTCCACTTGCAAGAAGGTGTATGGCTGTCTATCAGACTTACATCAATGCCATGAATGGAAGGATCCGCAATCAGTTTGTCAGCTCAAATCCCTTCAATTTCAAACATTTTTCTTCCCTGAATAGTATTGAGGATTTTATAGACAACAAACCATGTGTGATGGCAAGCCCAGGTAGTCTTCAAAGTGGTTTGTCAAGGCAACTGTTCGATAAATGGTGCTCTGACAAGAGAACTGCTTGTGTTATACCTGCTTAGGGGATTTCTAGCAAGGCAGTCCATTTATTTCTTCTTGAATTAGTTTAGAGGTGTCAAAATCGGCTCCAGACCCGCCCATTTGTTGAACTCAGCTCCTCTTGACCCAGCCATCTCAAGACATCTAAAGTGTAAAAATTGCATGGGCGCCCTATTTGGTTGCTCCCATTTAACTTGTACCCATTTCTTTTTAACTTGTACCCATTTTTTTTAACTTGTACCTACCGTTTAAATAACTTCAGGCCTTTTTCTTCTTTGTGAATATATTTTAAGGTAGTTTATGATGTTTGCAGAGGTGAGTTGTTGTGGCGCTTTATTTTTTATTATTGCTTAGGGTTTCTTCTTTTTCTTTTTCTTAATTGCAAAATGAGTTCGTTAGGTTTATTATTGTTTTGACAAATTGATGGTTGGAGTTTGTTCTTGATGATATTTGGAGGTTATGTTTCAAATTTGAGCTCATTTGGAGTAGATTTAGGTATTAAATCGTATATTGGATTGTTAAAATCCGAAAAACAAATTTTTGTTTCTGGGCAATTAGCCTGAAGTGCATGAAAACGTTGGTTGCACTTCAGACCTTTTGGCCTTAAGTGCATCTGAAGTGCAATTCTTCACTTCAAACTTATTGGTCTTTACGTATAGGAAAATATTTGTTGCACTTCAGACCTTTTGGCCTTAAGTGCATCTGAAGTGCAATTCTTCAATTCAGACTTATTGGCCCCATCGGTTGCACTTCAGATCTATTTGGCCTCAAGTGCATCTGAAGTGTAATTTTTTACTTCAGACTTATTGGCCTTAAGTGTAAGAAAACGTTTGTTGTACTTCAAACCTTTTGGCCTTAAGTGCATCTGAAGTGTAATTTTTTACTTCAGACTGACCTTAAGTGAATGAAACCATTGATTGCTCTTCAAACCTATTTGGGCCTTAAGTGCATTTGAAATATAATTTTTTCACTTCAAATAATTTTTTTTTAAGTTCAGACCCGATAAGTCTGAAGTTGATTGTAAAGTGGGTAAACTTGTAATTTTTTTTGCAAAGTGGGTACAAGTTCAATTGTGACCCCAAAATCGGGTATAGATGCAAAAATCCCATCTAAAATTGAACTGATTTTTAGTCCAAATTTATCCATGAGTAACTTTGCAAAAATATTTTAAAAATATTTTTTTGGATATGTTATATGACCATAACAAAAGAAAAAAAATTATTATTTGGTAATTAAATAATTAAGAAGAAAACAACATACATTAATTAAAACTTGGTAAGAGTTTGGTGGGTTGGGCTATGGCCCAAATTTTAGCATATCTAGCCCAAGTTATGACCCGCTCATTTATTGACTTATTCCATTTTTAACTCGTCCAAAATCAGCCCAACCCGTGAATTTGACGCCCTAAATTAGTTATTTTGCTATCATGGTTTTGTTCTTAATGCTGAGAACTTGCTTGTGTTCATATTATTAGGTGGTTAAGTGCCAACCGTTTCTTATTAGTCGACAAGCTTGATAATTTTGTTTTTCATATGTGGCCAAGTGAATATATACTTTATTATGTTGTTAGTAATTTAGGACTATAACTAACGTGGATGCTTCTCTTATGGTATGTAACAAGTTGATACACACTCAGTTAAAAGCATAAGAAGCTTCAGAATTTGCTGTCTTACGGTGACTTAATTATACCTGCAGATTTGTTTTGCTGAATAAATCTGTTTCGAACAGGAGATAAATAAAGTTGCATTGGACGACATGAACATGTAGCTAGTAGATATGGTAATTCGAAAGGCAATCATATTACTAGGTTAGATTTGATTGAGAAAGCAGGAGATGACCAGTCCTGTTATATATTCGAGAGAAATTCTAGAAAACGTGCACGTAGAATGGATTCAAGAAAAAATTAAGACACAACCTTAGTAAGAAAGATGAAGTGGGTTAATTTTACTTTTATAACGTCCAAGTCACAAGGTTGATATTTCTTGGACGTACGTCTTAATTTCATTTAACATATTAATTAGGGCTCCGAGTTAGTTTCCCCCACTTTTGAAAGCTAAGTTTTGTTGCTACTCTTGGTAAGGAGAAAGAGAAAACGAATTCTACGTTGTTGGCTTTCTTTTATACTTGCATATATAGTAGCTGTTATGTTAAGAAACATACTGTTCTTAATTTTACCTTCATATTATATTATGACAATGTACGACACAGGAGTCAAATGATTTTGTGGTCCATTACAAATTTGTTTTTAGTTTTATAACTATGTGTGTGTTTGGTATAACGGAAAATGTTTTCTTGAAAAACAAATAGTAATCTTATTCATTTTTCGGTGTTTGGTACGCGCAAATTAATTGGTCTAAAGATTTATGATCGGTTATAAATCTAATTATGAATAAGAAAATCAAAGTAATGTTGACCGATATTATCGATTTTAGTTATAATTTTCAAATACATTACAAAAATCACAGTGCACTTCAAAGTGTACTTTAACTAAGATTTATATTTTTAAGCTCCTTTATCTTATTTATATTTACGTTAACCATTCTTCAAATAAATACATAATAAAGAGTCTAAAAAACATTGTTATTTGATTGAACATTTTTTTGAGCTCATTTAATTGCCCCTTAATTTAAATAAATATTAAATTTTGACAAAATATTTATATTACAATTATATCTCAAGTTGGTAAATTTCGTAGTTCACATACAAGGTCCCTTATTGTGGGATCTAACAGAAAGAAGACTCCTACATCTAAAGGAATAAAAATTGCGCAAAATATAAGCATTCCAAAAAGAAAAAAAGATAGGAAAAAAGGGACTTCTAAACCTAAAAGAACTAAAAGTCGGCCCACACTTTACTAAAATAATGTGATTTTTTTTGAGTTTTTTTCTTTTTAAAAATTATTTTTATTGTATAGTCTATATAGGAAGGATTTAATACACAAAATTTAGTTGATTTTGAAGTCTTAAATATTAGAAAAATAATTCAATATCTATTCTTAAATATTAAAAAAATATTTAAATAACTATTTTGTCTAGTGTGGAATAGATTTTAAAGGATAAAAAAGTGAACGACTTCGTATTTTTAATATAGTATAGATAAATATAAATTATAACTTATAACTAATACCCTAATAGATTTCAAATACTTAGTGAATTATGACAATTAAGAGAAAGGAGCATATAAATTCTTCTCCATCCTCATCTTTCTCTACGAAAATCAAATACACATAGTACTCAAATTTCTCTCTATACAATTAGGGATGGAAAATGGGGCGGGGCAAGGTAAAATCTTAATGGGACGGGGCAGGGCCAAAATACATTTTCAAAAAATAGTTAATGGGGCTGGGCAGGGGTAAGGCAGGATTTTTAGCTGCAAAGTCAACAAACAAACTAGAATTTTCTTTCACTTGCGTGTGCCTACTTCATAGGATGGAAGTTTGTCTTTTTTCTATGTTATGTTTAGATGTTCTATTTTTATTTTTTTCTGGTTGGAGGTTGATATATAAAGTTTTGTCCACAATTTATTTTGTTTTTAATTCTAGGCAAACATTTGGTTATGTAATATTGGTGGATCTTGGGTGGGAGGTTTATTGTGAATATGTTAAATGAAGCAAGAGCAAGAGTGCAGCTACAGTGAACTCCATTGTGCAGTGGTTTTTGAAGGGTTTATTGCTCCAGGTCTTTAGGTAGATAGTCGATACACGCACGCATACATGAGAAGTCAATTATCTGTTTTAGCATATACTAATCTATACACCTTTGCCATCCACCAAAATCTACACCTGTTGGGTACAACTATTACTTACTATATCAACAGATGTACTATCTATGATTCTGAACTTCTTTTGAATAAAGCGTTGTGTTTGCTGTTTTTCACGTCAAAAAATTGATTTTGCTGGTACAGATATGATATGCTCCCGTTGTTCTATTTTATACGACACTCTTTTTCTTTTTAATCCCTTGTTAAAAGAAAGATATCATTCTATATTTGAAAACTCTTTAACTTTAAACTTCCATTTTAATCTTAGTGACATCATTAATTTTACATCATGTAAACTGAAGCCATATCGTTACCAGATTTATAATGGAAATCATCTTCATCTTTCTTTTTATAATAAAATGAATAATTACAGTTCCAAACTTAAAAGAAAACAAGAAAAAAAGAAGCTAAACGGGACGGGGCGGGGCAGGTTGAAAATAAAAAGAGAAAAATTGTTAAACTGTCACGATCCCATTTTTTCACCTTAGGATGTCGTGATGACACTTAGTCTCTAAGACTAGGTAAGCCTAACATTCATGAATACTTAACGAAATTTAACAGTTAAGAAAATAAGATAATTCGATAAACTCATAATAAATCCGAAATAGAACATCTATAACAAAACTACCAAAACCGGTGGAACTGGGTCATAAGCTCTACACGAGTACACTGTAAAATCTCTAGTACAACACTGTCTAGAAAAAGAATAAACAATAGTAAAATAAATACAGAAAGTGACTCTGAGGCCTGCGGACGCCGGGCAGGTATACCTTGAAATCTCCGAACTGTATGATCCACTCACTGATGCCTAGCCTGAGTCGAGGTCTAATTCTCACTGTAGCGCCGCCACCAAAGTTTCCAGTCGACGAAATTGTATATAGGGATGGCGATAGGTAAGGTCGGGGCAGGGCAGGTGAAGCATGGCCCTTCCACAAATTCAACATGCCCTGCCCCGTTTATGTAACGATTCGACCAGTCGTTTTGAGTATTTTAGCCCCATTCCCCTATTGATTGCCTACTCTATGTTCAATAGTGGTTATGTGACTTGCCGGGGTGTTTGGATTGGTTCCGGGGAAGTTTCGAAGTGAATTGGGACACTTAGTCCCAAAGTTGGAAGCTTAAGTTGAAAGAGTTGACCGGAGTTTGAATTTTGTGTAGACGACTACATAATGGATTTTTGATGGTTCTGATAGCTTTGTATGGTAATTTTGGACTTAGACGTATGTCTGGATATTGATTTGGAGTTCCGTAGGTCGTTTTGGCTTGAATTGGCGAAAGCTGGAAAGCTAAAGGTTTAGAAGGTTGAGAGGTTTGACCGAGAGTTGACTTTATTGATATCGGGGTCAGATTTTGATTCAGAGAGTTAAAATAGGTCCATATTGTCATTTATGACTTGTTTATAAAATTTGAGATCAATCGGATTTGGTTTGGTGTGATTCGGCATTAGTTTTAGAA